TGGCCACAAAATCCTGAGGAGCGCACGAAGACGAACCTCTGAGTATGGCGGATGTTGGAGGAAAATGTAAAAAACTACAAGACTCATCTGGTGTCGACGAGAGAAGATGCATCGAGATAGTTCGCTTTTACGACGCTCTTCCCAGTAACGAACGTCACGACTGCACAAACGGAGGGAAAACCTCGTCGCAGTCGCATTGCAGAATTTCGTTGCACGTTCCTTCCTTCTAAGCTTCAGAGGACGAGCGCCTCAACCCGCAAACCGAATTTATGAGCTTCCTAAATTTGTTTGGCCTCAAGCTTTCAAACGCACTCAGGGCACGGAGAAATAGGGTTCATGACACGGAATTCTGTTAGTTTTAATTAACTCCTTAAAAATATTCAATATACTAGAAAAGCTTTACTTATGTCTAAACAATTTATGAATTACTTAGCATCCAAGAATGAATGAAACAAGTATTGAAGCTTAAAATTGCAGCCTGTGAATTTAAATTTAAAATTTAAAGCTCACGAATTTTTGAAGCCTACTAAACTTGGGCCGAGATCAAACCGGCTTCAAAAAAGCACAGCAAAGAATACGGAACTTTGACGATAACTCAATTTAGTTTATGTTGTACAAATGAAGCTCGAATCTATTTCGATGCGTGCCAGAGTTGAGGATAAAAACAAGAAAAAAGCCTTTAAAAACTCGTGACTTGAGAAATTCCGTCTCGAAATCGACCTGAGTTGCAGATGAGCAAGAAAGTTCAGCATCTCGCATGCCATGCGCTTTGTATAGCGCGTTCTAAAAACGCTGACTCGACTCTAAATTTCCTTCATCTGAAACGCGCTGAGCTTTAACTTGCTTCAGACATGTATTGATCCATGGGTGCTGTATTGAAGCCAATTATGCGAATTTTTCCATGAAATTTTTTTGTCATTATGACTAGAGTTTTCGAATTTTTATCTTTGGCTTGTGACCCAATTAATAATTTTTTCGCTATCCTATTCCTGCTGTGCTGAAGCCACTTGAGATTTATTACTCCGTTTGTTTCTATTGCAGGTTTTTCAGCTTGGAGGAATTATTAGTTACAGGGTTAGACAAAATAAGGGAAACACGGGGAAATCCACAAAATATATTTTAGTATGGTGTAGGTCAACATTTTGCGGCAATTACAGCCTCAATTCTCCGATGTATTGATTCATTCTAATTGTGAATTGTTTCCAACGAACTTTTAACCCATTTTTCAGTAAAAACCCCCTCCAGCTCTTCTAAAGACGATGGCGGCAGGAATTGACTTCTGACTTGCATCTATAAAATGGACCATAAATGCTCGATAATATTCAGGTCTGGTGATTGTGGTGGCCAAATGAGATGGTCCATTTCATTGGAATGTTCTTCCTGCCATTTTTTAACAATTCTGTATGGTTCGAGGCATTATCATTTTGCAAGATGGCGATCCCCTCCGGAAACAGTGCTTGAACCATTGGATGAACTTGGTCCTCCAATATTCCTAAATAGTCACGGCTGTGGATTCTTCCATGAAGAGAAGTAATTGGTCCTCCGCTCCGATGATTTCCAATTATTTCCAAGAAATTTCTCCAGATCATCACTCATTCCTCGCCATGTTTTATGGCTGTGAGGAGGAAGTCGAGATTAAATGACTCTTACGGCTGTCTCCAAATGTAAACTCGGCCAGAGGCTGGAAATAAGGTAAACGATGATTCATCACTCATTCCGTCCATCACATTTTTTCACCGTCCATCACATTTTTCCACTGCTCTGGGGACAAATTCTGGATGTTTTTTCACCACTCTAAACGCTTTGAAGCATGTGTGTTGGAAATCAGTGGTTTTCTAATTGCAGCTCTTTCATTAGATACCGATCTGTACAGTTATCGGCGGACAGTCTTTATGGAAACTGGGTTCAGTAGGTGTCCATTGATGTCTGCAGTAATTTTAACAGCTGAGGTCTTTTGATGGTCCCTCACAATTCGATTTAGGTACCGACGGTCTCTCTCAGACAACTTCAACTTTCAGCCAGACCTGTGCTTTGCTGAGGACGTTTTTCCTTCTCTTTCAAATGCAGGCATCACTTTAGAGACAATACCTCTATAACCTTCCAGCATTCGGGAAGTTTCTATCACACTAGCACCTGTCATACGGGCACCAACAATTTGGCCTCTTTGAAAGTCAGAGAGGTTAGCCATTTATAGGGTATGGTTAGGTTATAGACAAAAAAATTATAATAATATTTTTATAAGGATAAAATATTGATAAGCAGCAACAGTAAGCAATAAAACATAAAAATAGATCACGTTTTCATTGTTTATAACATGTTAAAAAATTACGATATCAAAATGTCGGGTGTTACCCTTATTTTGTCCAACCCATTTATGTCTCGCTATTTATGTTGAAGTTGAGGGAGAGCTAACTTTTATTCAAGTTGAAGTTCTAGTTATAAGGAAGTTCTATTTATGTTGAAGTTGAAGGAGAAGTAACGATTATTTGCACGTTTTTTAATGCGAATACGGCGTTGTTTCATTTAAGGCTGAAGTCAAAGAATGTGCTATTAAAGAAAAAGAATGTGCTGTTAAAAATGAGCTGAATTTAACAACATTAAATAATTATTTTGTGCCATGTAACTAGTTTTTTATTGGAAGTTAATCTTCGGTTATTTAATATTTGCGTTTGTATTCATTGGACAACATGCCTGTTCCTTTTTTGTATAAAGAAAATTCAACAATTTTTGTGCTATGAACCGCTTGAAAGAAAGTCTTTGCAGGATAATATAGCAGCGTGCTACAACATAAATAAAGCTTCCCTGGAGTGTCGTGAAACACGAAGCCTGCTCAGACTGACGTACGAAGCAGGCAGCTAAACAAGCTGTGACTGCAGGTCAAGTGCTGTGACACCCGATCCCTTCCGAGCTAAATTCCCGAGTCTGCCGCTCTTCTTTTATGCAAGCAACGTCGCACTCTAGCAATTTATTATGGTTTTGTCATAAAAACAAAACATTGACTGTACTACTAGGCCTCGTGATGCTAGTTTATTTTACAGCTGGTAGTTCGCAAAATCTGCATTTCATTAATTTGCTCTCATTCTCAGTTATGATCACATGCAAAACGTATACCATTATGCTGAGATATTTTTATGACTTTTTAAATTAATATTTGAATCACCACTGATTTTTAATTCGGGTAGGTAATGAAATTTATTGGTTATGTGTCTCTTTTGTGACTAAATGGTAAACAAAATGTTCAATTTGTGGATCAAATATTATTTCAACAAATAATTTTTATTTTTTTTTAGATATTTTGAACCGCAAAAATACTCGCAAACTTCACAAGAAAACATGTAAAAACACAGACAGCAAATTTTATACTAAATATATTTATTAATTTCAATCTAATGGCATTCAAGATTTACAACTTTGTTCAAACCTACCTATTCAAATATGAAATATTGAGCCTCTTTACTCCCATAGCTTTAATATGATAGTCAGCGAAAGCTTGGTACTTAACTCAGGTCAGTTTGAAGCCTTTATTACTTAGCTTGCGTAATAACAAGTGTGTTTGCGCTTGCTCGTTTTTGTCCTATAGAAAATCCAAACACCTCTAGCTACGAGGCTGCACTTAATGAGAGCTTCCCCATTTGTTCTACGAGCATCAAAGACTCGCGCACCCATTGTATTTGCCAGGTGATAGACGGCCATCAGCCTCTGTCAACTTGGTCACCATGCAGCCCGTTGCTTAAGTTGACACGTTATTTTAGGCAAATTCCTTGAAATAAACTTGCACCAGGAAATATCGCGTTTTCCTTTATTATAAAGAACCTGCGACATTAGTTCTGATTCAAATTTAACGGTATTTACATGAGTCGGTGCATAAATGATATTTTGGTTTAAATGCTGGTTATTTTTAAACTTTCCTTTAATAGAATCTTGAAGCGGATCGAAAGTAATCTGCATAAAAATATTAGTGTAGTTAGGCAGAAGTTCTTCATTTATACAGGTTTGGTTGAAGACCAGAGCGTACTTTTATTTACTTTTTATTTACTTCGTAATTTGATTTTCGATTTTGAACCGTATCTACGATACTTTCTGTATGAACTTATGTCATGTCCAAATTTCAATTTTAGCGTTGTAATAACTGTTCACTTGCTTGATAATGAATATTGATATATTCGAAACGTCGCACTGCAATAAAATGTCATTCGGTAATCTACTTTTTGATCTCCAAGCTCCAGCTAGAAATTTTGTTCGGCTTATCGAAAAGAACAATAAGAAAATCGTAAATAAAAAGTACGCTCTGGTCTTCAACCAAACCTGTATATATATATATATATAGGCATGAACTATTTGAAATAAACAAAACGTTGTTTTATAAATCTTTCCGGCAATAAAATTCACTAAATGTGATTTTAAAAGCATTTGAATTCTCGCAAATTTCTATTCAATAAAATTGTGTGTTGAAGAATAGGGAAATTATCACCAAAAGGCATTCAGATTTTTTATATATACGAATTCAAAATTGGAAGACTAATGAGAAGCGCTCTTTTCGCGAAATGAAGTCATATAATGTTACGGTTTCATCGGAATTATTTTGACCTGAAATTTCGTTAAATTGAAGAAATGAAATATAATTACGAAGACAAGGTCACAACCCAAGGTGAACGACGTCGAGTATCAAGTTGACGTGTACGAGTAAGAACTGACGTCTAAAAACCTTTAGCGTCACAAAAGTGCATTGCGTTCGCATGGAAAGCTACAGGAAAAACTGCACTGAACCACTGGTCGTTCTTGAACTTAGATAAGGATATCAATGCATCTGGTATTTTTGAACATATTTTCCCAGGAATTAAACTCGGGCTTTCCTTGACAATCTTTCCCGGATGAACCGGGAAAGATCGAGAGCTTGAATTCCACAACCTCGGGATTCAAGCTCTTGAACACCAGGTCTCGCCCGTCCGTCTTTTCCAGGTTTGTCAAATCTCAAACTCCATCCACCCGTCATGCAAGACGCCAAACTTTGAGCGTCCACACACTCCGTCTTGTCGGTCAAACCTGGCAAGACTGACAATAAGTTTGAGTTTGATAACGGGGCTTCATACAAAAATGAAAAATATACAACCTGCCCAATCCCTAACAACAGTGTGACTTGTGAGAGATTTCTTCTAGGGTTACGCAGAAACCATTTGCAGCTCACAACAATATGGCAGACCAGCTATTTTTAACTTAGATGGACACTAGACCGTTCAGAGTTTAAGGCACATCTCAATGCCTTACACACTGCTTTACAGTTTACTTGGGCTGAGGAGTCTTAAACTTTCTTAGTATAACTTAGAATATACCTAAAAGTAATATTGACAGGGAATTTGAAGAGAAATACTGGCAACTATCAACCTACACAATATCAAAGAAAAAAACACGATTACTGAGAGCCTGGCAAACATGCTCATTGCGTCTCATGTTAGTCAAGTAGATTGCAGAACATGGCAAGTTGAACAAGACCTTAGAGGCTCCTACGACAGCTCTGAAACGAGACACAACATGAATGATGCTTTTGGATAAACGTTCTTTTACAATCAGCCATCTTCGGTATATTACTGTGATGAATCGTTGACATGAGTAGGTGCTAGATAAGAGCAAGTGAGCTTTAAGGTAATACGAGAACATTGAATGAATTAATAAAAATTCTATTTATATACATATCGTATAAAACTCTACTGGATTGAAATTTTCAGCAAAAATATTTATTACATATTTATGAACCGATAATAGCTTACTGAGAGTTCCCAACTTCCCAGAGTTAATCTAATTCAATATCGTCACCATCAGTTTATGCAAGTCAGTAACCGCCGATGTGTGGAAATGTCACCTCACTCACCGTTAAATATCTTGAAATCGTTTGATTTTCGGTTGTAGTTTCATATATGGCCTGGAATTCATCATCATGATAGAATATCCCTCGCCAAAAATCACAAAGATATCATCAAGGACTATTATTATTACAACAGTAATTATGATCCAAATCCATGAACTGATTGCAAATCATGTTTAGGATTTGCGTGGCCTCGACTTGTTTCACGAGGTACCCTGCGTGAGTGAGATCTCGACAATACAAATCAGGCATTGAATATGTTGTGGCAAATGTGTCATAGTATTCATTTAGTTTATTCACGAACTCTTCCTGAGATTTCACTGAAGATCCAGTAATGTTCACTATCAAATTCCCGGGGAATGTTTTCATTTGACGGAAGAAAGTGCTGCTATTCTTCTCAGCGTTCGGCCGAAGTTCAAAAAACAGAGGGTTGGCGTGAACCTTATTAGAGAGGCGATTTACGCGCTGGAAAAAATCATCACGCGATACATTTAGCTTTTGTAGCAAACCATACACGTAAGTAAGATGGGAGAATGCATCAATATTGTAGGCTAAAGATATCATTTTGGCTGACATAGGATCGTGATTAAATAACGTATCACAATCGCGTAACGATGCGAATGACAGCGGCAGAGTCGAGTCCCAGAACCAAATGCCTCCATGCCCCTCGGCATCAGAATGAAATGTCTGTTGACTTTCGTAAGATCCATCAGTAATGCTCGGCTTTTCCTCAGTAAGAATTTTGAAACGACCTTGAAACGGAATGGAATTTTTTGGAGATGAAACTGCATTTCTACGTGATGCGAAAACGGCTCTCCAGAAATAACTTTTGTTTTTCCGTGTGTAGTTAGGTACGTAATTAGAAGTGAACTTCTTTCTAAGGTTCAACCATCCAAGCTCGGAGAAATAAAGCCACTGATCTTGCGAAGACTTTTCATTGTGGAACCTCTGTTTTTGAACTATGGCATGTTGCTTGTGTATATTTTGGGCGAGGAACAGCACCCGAGTATTTTTACGCATGTTTAATAACATGCGTAACACAGCAGCGTGGATCCTCCATTGGTCGTCCATGAGTGTTAGGGTTGGGCGACCTTTCGATGGATGAAGCAGCAGTACCGACATCCACGTAGAATATCCTGTGTAGGAAGAAAACCGAAAATATGAAACCGTGAGTTTCCATCGTAATTGATGAGATAATTTTTCCATGATGTAGAGGGATAAGATTATTATTAATACGACGTGACGGTTAATTTTTATGTACGATGTATAGGAAAATGATGTATTCCTAGTAGGATGTAAATTTATTAAATTGTTTCGGAAGGAATCTTTACCCAGCTGGTTACAAGTGTGCGGGCCGGAGGTTATTATGGTAATGAATACAAAAGGAGACAGAGCCTTCTTATTTTACGCTTGATTACTCACGATTGAATTTTACGTGATGGCTCACTTGTGCTATAGCTTATTTCTCTTCCTATTACATTAAAAATAGAACCTGGTGGACCTGTAAATTTTACCCAATTATTCTTACCAATGACAATGAGATCAGGGGGAGGTTCTTCGCCCACCGCCCAACTCAAGAGTTTTTTGTAGATTGCAGATTGTAGAATTTCCTCATATGTAACTTCAGCGAATGTCTCGAACCTTCAGAGAAAAATATCAACATAAAAAGCGTTATGAATGATCAAGTAAATTGTAATCAATCCTAAAAAAAAAATTTCAGTGAGGGTTAAAGTTCATTTTGAAATTAAACTTATGATTGCGATTCGTTGTAAATTAGACAAAATTTTGTTGAAATAAATATGGTCAGAGATTCGGCCTATTCTGTTTTTTAACTATATATCTACTTGTGACAGAAAAATTGAGCATCATTCATCATGAAAACTCGCAATATGTTTGAGGGCGAGTTATAATGACAAAATTTCGTATTAGCACTGTAACTGGTAAGCATAATCTTCGTGAATAACAATACCTAATTCTCGCCCTACCAAATCTTCATGTTCGTGGGCAATAGTATCGGTTTAAACAAATGACAATTTTACACAGTTGAATTGAATTCGGTCTTTCTTCATTCTAAGAGACGAGAAAGGAAGCATGCCTTCGTGACGGAAATTCTCTGTAAGGTATGGGAGATTTAGAAAGAAATAGAAAAGAGAGTGAAATTGTGTGGGTGAAGAGTATGGAATCAATGAATTGAAAGAAACGACAGCCTGAGATTGTACAAGATGAAAGAAATGCCAAAGTATGCGTGCATATATGATGGCAGTAGAGGTGGAGACCTAATCTTCTGTATGAGAGCGAATTAATGCTTTGAGTGTGAATGCACGGACGTGTATAGGTGGTGTGTAAGAAGGGAGGACATTTGTTTTATGTGTGACAGAGGTGAGAGGGAGACTGTGGAGCATCTGATGATGGAGTGTGATGCATATGAGAACGAGATTAGAAATGATTAGAGTGATACTGGGTGAGAGGAGAGAAGGGTGATGGTATGATGTATAAGAGAACGGGAGGCGAATGGATTGCAATGATAGTGGATCTGTCGACAGGTGTGACTGCTGCAATCACTGAAAATGGAAATAAGCGATATTTGGAGAGTTCATGGAGATTAGGGGAGAGGAAGAGGTTGGTAAGAATGGAGGCCAGAGGAGCATAAACGAACAGGCAGTAATAAATAATAACAGTAACATTTACAATATGAAAGGAAACAAAAAATTATTCATTGCCTGGAAGATACGAATATGTAATACGAACTCTAAATAATACAGTACAATAAATGAGGCATATCAATAATAGCCAAATAACTTAGCAATAATATACCATCTTACTCTTAATAATAACTTTCCCATCCCTATAGCCTCTGCTTTAATGTCGCTTCCCCCCCAAACCATTCCTCAGATACAAACTAATTGTAAAACAAGTATTGTATGAGTAATAAAATAATGATAGGAACAGTGCTCGTGCGGATTGAATCCATCCACCACGCCCCAAATCCAAACCATTTGTAAAACAATTATTGTATGATTAACAATATATTGATGAGAACAGTGCTTCTGTGAATTGAATCCATTGCCTCACTGCATTGTAAGGTAGAAGCCGGGAGCTGATCTCACAGAAACTGTGACCTGATGGTGGTTATGGTGTTCAAGAGCTTGGATAATCCAATCCCGTAAGTTGAATTGTTGTCCCTATCAAGGAAAAAGAAACTAGTTAGATTCATTAAAATTAAAAGATGAATTTAATCTACGTAACGGCTTCTTTCATAGTAATATTGGATTTTAGTGTAGACAAAAACTCCATGTTCTCACCTCAATATTGACTTGCTAACAACTCACCAAGTTTTCAATCTCGTAGTCCATCTCCTTGGTTTCAACGAGAAGGGCTTCAAAAACTTGGTTTACTTTTGAATCGCCGATAAACGAAATGAGCACTGACGCGTTCTTTTTTGTTACAAGATTTCTAAAGCAGCGCACAATTTCATTTTTGCTAAATCTTTTTTTCATTCTGCAATCTAAGTAGGGAAGCTTGCCATCGTGTTTTTCCAAAATATTTCTTCTTGGTGGAAGTTCATGCGTGTAATCATTCTGTTTCCACAGCATACAAAGTTTGACAAAGGAAACTTCCTCTTGAGGTGGTACTTCTTTAACAAAATCTAAGATGACTTTTGTCAGCAAATTTCCACATACTGTCTGCATAAGAGTTTCGTCAAACGTCATGCCGTCTATTGTCCTATTTTTTTTGTTAATGGCCGCTGGTATAAATTTGCTAATTTTTTTATATGGTTCTCTATCCCAAACACCACTGGCTGTAAACTTGTCTCTCATTCCATTGATAATTATTTGAATTTCTTTGGTAACATTCGAAATTGACGTTTTGTCGCCATCCAACAACGAGAACATACTTTGGCAGCGAACAACATTATCCAGAAGTTTTCTACCTGACAAATATTGAGTTGTCACCGCAAGTCCCGCTTCCGAGTGCCAACATAATTTATCGGAGATGTTACGAGTTTCATAAACAATGTAAATCGCCACAAATCCTGAAGCGAGAAGTAAAGTAACTAATAGAGCACTTGCTGAACTTCCCATGATTGCTGTAACCTATCAGCGTTAGCTGATCTGAATCCTTGTGGAACATTCGTTTTGGGCGGAGAGACAATGTTCATAGAACAAGGAAAAAACATTTGGACGGAAAGGCATAGTTCATAGCACAAGGAAAACCCCGATTTTCTAATATCAGAACTTCTTTCCTTGTTTCTGCAAACCTTTCAAGCCATTTACTTCCTGGGGGATGCCTGTCGAAGACCACCACTGCCTCGCTTCGAATGGACCACCATGATCCCTTCCAACAAGAATGAGCCCCGAACACTTCCCGATTACACATAATCACCCGCAAGCCACAAAACAGAGCTCATCCATTGAAGAAGACAATTAGCCCACAGGAAAACAGCCTACAATGGTTTGGTCCAGAATCGTGACGATCGTCTGCCAGCGCACGGAAAAATTTTGCACTACTCGGACACCGCACGCCGGAACCTTGCAGTAAGTTTGAGGACCACCACCAACCCGTCCGTATTCATCTTCTGCATCGTATCAGCCCGTGATCGAACTGCGGCTCGTCGATTGACGATAGATTTTGGAACAGAACTATGCTATCTGAAACCTAACCTCAGATGCTATGAGCTAAATGTTACGTAATTTAACGATTCAAAAGTTCCCCTGGCAAGTGGAACACCTCATTCGAAGCACAATAAATAAATTTAATCCAGATTATGATTATCTTTGACCCAATGACCTAAGTAAAATTGTGAAAAAAGTAAAAAGAACCTAACCTGGCTGGACCTAACCTTAGTAGAAAGGTGTCAAGCAACGTAAAGAAGGGTTTTATACACACCTAACCCTAACTCTAACCCTAACCTAACGAGGTTGGCGTTTTTTAGAATGTCCGGTAGTGTAGTTCATTTATTTTCGTGTCCGATTTTTAAGTACAAACTAATTGCAAAGTACATAACCGACCCGGACTCGATTTTGTCCGGATTTCTAACCCCTGTCCGGTAATGTTACCAATCCTGTCCGGCTATTGACCGAAATATTACCGAAGAATGCTATTGGCTGCAAGAATGGTTTCCAGCCCACTCAAAATAATTTCAGAACTATGTTTTCGATTTTTAATCGATGATGTAGTCAGTCATGAAAATGTCAGCTTGAACTAAGGGTTTTCATTAACTGAATAAAATTTACCCTCCACATAATTTAATATTTATCATTGCTCAGAAGCCATCGCCGTAAGGCTTTGAAACCAACCAAAAATGTTTCGATTTTTATATATATGATAACAATTATAAGTGGGTTCTGAGCCCCAGAAATCACGCTTAAAGCATTTTCTGCTCCCATGAGAAATTTGCAATGTAGAACTTCGCTTCCCAAAGGAGAAGTAATAATCTTAGTTTGATAGAGCATAAAATAAGTAACAGCCCATTCTTAACTTCGTATGTGCAAAGATGGAGTTAATCGCATCTATGCGATCTTAGCTGTGTTATATCTTTCAATATAATATGATGGATATGCTCATTGATAACATGTTTGTACATAAAAATAAAAATTATCTTAATAATATCAGATGAAGCACTTTTTAATCAATTTTACTGATTTAATCATTTCGGGGCTGCATATACTAATTCGCTCGCAGGTTCACTAAAATCACACATTCCTGAATATATTTTTCACCGTGTTCAGAAACTATTTTCCTACACAATATGTAGATTCTTTCGTGGGAATTTTACTATGATAGCTCATTCTGTTTCATTTTTATAATAACTTTCGTTCGCACTTCGCAGGTCAAATCTGCATAAAATGATAAATCATTATATCATGCCAGAAGAGAAGTATTGAATCTTGCCACATAGCCAAACGTTTTTGAAGTCTTTTCCTGTCCTATAAGACTTTCATGCGGAAGCTTTTTCCTTGTATGCATGATTGCTTTCCTCTTACTGCAACGTCGAGGAGGAAGGCTTTGTTAGAAGATATTACTATTATTTCTGATCCTGGAACACCTGAATCAATACCTGGTTCCAGAGTTGGAATCCTAGACGATACAGGACTTGTAGCTCTAATTCTAGCAACTTCATGACGGACATTTCCCTTCCGCATCGCTTTATAGAGTGGTTTGATGATTTGTCTTTACATTTCTCCTTTGTTTGCTTTTAATGTTCCATCCGACCTGAGGTGAACCTTTGTCTGTCTTACAATTAAAACGTAATTTTCATCAGTAGTATAGATAAGGGGTGTATCGTCACACTTTCCATAAACAGCTTAAATCATAGGTTACCACAACCATTTACCCCAAATCTTACCCAACAAAATTAACTAATTACCCCTGATCCTTCAATATTATTACGAACAATTACCCCCAAATCTGCATAAACAGCTTAACAGGGTACCGATCATGAACCTTACCCAACAAAATTAAGCAATTACTCCCGAATCATGAGTTAACGATCAATTACCCCGACTGAGCACTCTTTAACCGAGAATAACCTAGAGCGGCTACCTGAAAAATACTTCTGTGGAATATATAATTGATTAAAATTTTTGAAATACTTTCCAGAACCGGGGTGCTCATCTTTATTAATCAACACAAAACTATAAGGTACTTTATACGTTTCATTACACAGTTCTTGAAACTCGGCAAAGGGCATATCACAAGCAATGTAATCACTATGAATATTCTTCATGGTTTGTCTTGGTAGTATGTGATAGTTTTGGGATAAGTAAATTGAACTACAGTTATTATGTCTTCCACGGGTGTAAACACCATCAGCCGGATTTTGATTCTTTTCCGTAGCAATTTCATCAAAAATGAATAAATTCTTCTTCCCTATAGGGAAGAAGAGATCTATATATAGGGAGAGATCTATAAGAGATCTATAGATCTATATCACTGGGATCAGGCACGGAAGCTGTATTCTCAAAATATTCGATAGCACATTTTTGCTGACGTTTTTTAGGTAGGTTTTCGAGATATTCATCAATATTACCATTGCCGTTAGAAAATAA